TGCTGGCCAGAGTTAAACCATGAGACACCCATAGTCTCACCTTAGGCCACCCCGACCACTGTTCAGTCTCCAGGTGATGAGCTGCTTCCCTGGAATCCTTTCTGTGCCACATGCTGTGTCTGAAGAGACAGAGGTTTATGCATGGAGAGCCGTTCCCTGCAGGCAAGCAGCTGAGCAGGGAAAAGTCCTAGGTTTCCTTTTGAGGAGTCTGAAATCCATGTGGTCTCTTCTCCAAGGGATCTGGTTGCCGTCACGGCGTCCTGGTGCTCCTCTGCCACTCTCCTGCCCCGCACAGCAGGCAGAAAGGGGCACTGCGGTGTCCCTGCCATCAGCACCGCGCGCCAGGCGGGTGGGCCAGGCTCTAACCCTCTGCATTTCTCTTTCGTTGCAGATGGCGCGCCCGATTCAAGTGAAACCCGCGGACAGCGAGAGCCGTGGAGGTAGTTGTCATCTCTCCTTGTTTCTCCTCTGGTGGCTTTGTGCTTGTGAAGGGGGACCAAGCCAAGAGACAGGGTCCCGACCTGGCCTTACTCTCCCCGCAGTCTGTATGGAGGGATATGTGTATGTGGCAGGGATTTGGTGGGGCAAGAGGAGAGCCTAGGGATAGGCTTTGATGGGGAGCCCTCAGCGCGGCTCAGCAGGCAGCTGGGCGCACCCCGAGTGCCAGGGGTAATGCTGTGGCTGCCCACTCCCCGCTCTGTCCCCACCCTTTGAGGGGGCTCTCGGCCTGAGGGGCTGCCCCGGGTTACCGAAGCAGGCGTGTGCTTTGGTGTCTGGGAGGCGTGAGCAGTTGGGAAGAGGTTTCTTCATCCTTATCCCTGATCAGCCCCATGAAAGTCAGATCCCTGCAGCAGCGCTGGCTTTTTAGCCTGTTCGGCTTGCTGCTCTGCAGCGATGCTCCTGTCTGCAGCTCGCTCCTCTGCCTCCCCCATCACGGTTGGACTGTCTCAGCCCCCCCGCCTCGATCCTGCATCCCCATCACACTGTCGGGGCCCAGTGCTGTTGCAGAAAATGGCATGTGATGGGGAAATAGTGTCTGAAGGAAAAGGATCCTGAGCCTAGGCCTGAGATGCAGCAGATACTGAGCAGTTCGGAGCTGCAGGATTGGGAATGCGAGACTGTTAATTTAATGGGGTGCTCACAGCAGCTCAGCTGCCTTGTCTGTGTGGAGAAGGTTTTGCACCTCCATCCCTTTCCAAATTTATGAACTCGTTTTGCTGCTTTTGCTTGTCTTACCGATACATTTCTTTTCCTCTTCTTTCCACTCCTGTATCTACCTCTCCCTGCTTTGTGCTGTTGGTGCTGCCTCCGGAAGCAGTTGGTAGTGGGGGGTGAGAACTTGTGTGAGACTGTCCCCTAGGCAGCATTCCCTGCATGCTCTCCTTAGTTTGGAAGGCTTTGGTTTTAAGTTTTAAGGGGTCATTTCCAAGTAGTTTGTAGTGACTTTCAATTATTGTGCTGGCAGGAGCATGAGAACTATTTTCCTGTGTTTTAGATCAATGTGTGATCCTCCGTTAAAAAAAAAAAATCTGTTTAAGTCAGATCATTTTTCCAAACGGAATCTGTGACTGTAATCTTTTGCTTATTTACTTGAGGGATAAGACACCTGACTTTTACTGGAGTCTGAGCATTTTTATTCCCTTGGGCTATGCTGGGAACCCCAGACATGCCACCTATAGGTGTGATCCTTTGGAAAAGAGCCAGGGCTTAAGCCTCCAAGGAAACTAGCATGCCTCAGACACGTCGGGCTGGATTCATCGCACCTTACTCCAGCCCCAGGGTTCAAGGTTGAGCTGAAGGTCCTTGTCCATGCTACAGACAGTAAAAAGAGACCGGTGCCCACAGGGTGACTCACTCCCTCACTCGACACTGGCGTTAGGAGTGGCAGAGGTGCCTGCAGCAGGGACAAGGGAAGCTGACTGACACCTCATACTGACTCTAGGTACAACTATTAGGGAGGTAGTTCTTCCCCCACCACATTGACTTTAAAAATTTGCACCTCGGATTTCTAATTAATTCAGAAATTATCTGACAGTATCTGAGGTTATTCCTAATGAGTCTTTAATAATAAAGCATAGGGAGACTAGGAAAGCCTTTACCAGTCATACCAGTAACTCAGCATCACAAAACTATTGCATGTGCACACTGGCCCATGCGCTCTCAGGCTGTACGACACAGCCAGCACGGAAACGCAAGCAGACGTACCTGCAGACGGATGCTCCGTGCATGCTCGGCTCTGCAAATATGTACATGACACACACGTTCGTAGGCAAACGCATGCATTTGCCTTCCCTGGTACCACCCAGCACAGCTGACACCCCCTGCCTTGAGCCCTCCCACAACAGCCGGAAAACCAGGCCGAATGGACAACTCAGGCTGTGAACAGATCAAGCGCTGCAGCTTTGTTTGTGTCTCGTAGATGAGTGCAGCTCTGGAATCTCTGGTGTCCAGACCCGGGCTGAGGTCATTCCTGCAGTCTTTTACTAGGGACTGTGTTTTATACGCAGCCACCTGGTATCACCAAATGTGTTGGGACTTCACCTCCCGGATGCCTCAGCTCCTCTGTCAAACTGAGCTGAAATAGGCCAGGATGTTGGTTTGGAATGAGCTTTGGTCAAGGCACTGGACTCTGAAATCTCTAAGCTTATGGGAAGTGCACGGTCTCTAATGACTGCAGCCGTCAGGGCATTGGCTCCCCTTCCCATGGAGAAAGTCACAGAGAAAAGCAGCCTTTGGCATCTGAACTCCTGCCTCTGTCCAGCACCTGTGCCTAGCTTCCTTCCAGCTTCATTGCAGAGCTCAGAGACCAGCAGCTCCCACAGGATCCATGACAAACAGGAATTCTCCCTGAGGCAGAAGCAGCACCAAGGCAGCACCCTATATTTGTCTGAATCGGGTTGCTCTTTCCAAAGGTTTCTGTCACTGGTCAGGGAAGTGGGTGAGGGAGTTTGCAGATATGGGAAGAGCCATTCCCTGTAGCAACAGCCCCACACTCGCAGGAGGTGAAGGAAAGATTTGTGGCAGGGCAAAACTGCTTGGACTAGGAATTTAGGAAGGGGACAGCTGCATGCATCAGTGAGGCTCTGCTCTGCATTATCCTTGAAGGGAACCTCCTTTATCCTCTGCAGGGACTGACATCTCTCAGATTAAGCACCCTGAATTAAGTACGTGAAGTTAGAGCACCAGAATTTTTTTTCCTGGTCCAAGAGATGCTCCTTGTTGTGCCAAAGGGGCCGTTTTCGCCAAGCCTTGCAGGGGCTGTCAGGTGTGTCTGGATGCTCAGTGTTACTGCACCCTGCAGAAGGAATTTCGTGGTAAAAGTTTGGAGAGGGACTTGTGTTTGTGGTGCAGGCTTTGTCAGCTCTTTCCTCCTTTCCCTCTGATGGGAGCCTGGGAGCGCAGGAGATGGAGTGAGGTGGCAGCGGAGCTTGTCTGTGCTTCTTGCGAAACCTGGAGCAGAGGACAGCTAGCCCAAGCCCATTGGCACTGCTGTGGAGATGAGGAAGCTTTCTGCATACCCAGGAAGATTTGCTGGGTCCCGTCCACAGCCAACTGCTTGAGCAGGCTCCCTCCCTCTCCCTGATCCTGGCTGCTGGCAGCTGCTGGCCAGATGGCCTAAATCCACGGGGTTTAAAGAGGAGCAGTGTCCAGTGCCTGCGTGCTCTCCTGTCTCTGATGGCCGAAGCATTCAGCATCCCTGCCTGTTCCCGTGGTATCTTCATCAGCTCGTCACTGGCCCTCCTCCTGCTGCTTGGGTGACTGCCTGTGCCCAGAGTACGTTTCCATGGGAACTCAACAGTCAGAGATCAGAGACAATTTTCCTGGTTCTGGACAGCATGGGAAATTGCCAATCAGGGGGTGAAGAACAAGGGCTGGAGAGAAGAAAAAATGGCAAGAGGAGGGTGTTGGGGGAGAGAAGGTCTTCCAGCGCTGCAGGAGTCCCCGTGGGGAGCCAACAGAGCCCGCGACCCACAGCAGTGGCTTGAGGATGCCAGCTGATTTGGGATCAGCAGACACACCGTGAAGGGACTCGTGGGATTGCATCCCAGTTTCGGACAGACGAGGCAGGTTGGTTACTGGTGGAGGAACATCCCTGCTTGGAAGCTGCCCGAAGCGAGCAGGCGCTGGATCCTGGGTTGAGCTCCAACACGTGGGGAGGGAGAGGGGTCAGCGGCAGAGGAGCCCTCACACGGGTCCCCATTTGCTACAAAGAGGCATCCAGGAACAAGCCTGGATCCTTTTCCTGTGGGCAGTCTTGGGAACTGGGCCATATGAAATGAAAATAACTGTGAAAAATCTCTCTCCTGTTGCCAGTGACTTCATTCCCTTCTAATGTTGCTCTTCCGGGCATTCAGAAAAGGTTCAGAACCAATAGGTGTGTTTCTTTACAGCTTGAGGCCTCAAGGTGTCACAGTTTTAACCTGTTCTGCAGAGCCAGGAAGGCTGCTGTTTTTTTCTTCCAAACTGAAAAAAGCTGAAATTCCCACATAAACACAGGACTGCCAAAACATTCCGTTAAGGAGCCCTGTCAGACCACGAAAGACGTGAAGTAAAACTGCAGGAACCGAGGCCAGCATCCACTCTTTCAGTGAACATTTCCCAAGGTGCAGGGTAAAGAGAAATGCTTTTGATCCAACAGAAATGGCATGAGGATGAAACCAGAAGAATTATCCTGGAGAAAACAGCTAGTAACTCACAGTGGAATGATGATTCAATGGCAAGATTCCGTTCAGCGCCTCCACCGGCAAGTTGTGGCTGCTCGTGTCCGTCAGACTGTTACTCGGCGGAGACGTAAGCCTCGGGTGGCTGTGCTGGCCATCAGGTCTTCCCACTGAATTAGGCATCAGCCAAAACTGGGACCGTTATCCGACGGGTGACCCACTGATCTCCTGCAAAACCCTCACTTTACACAAAACCACATCCAGGAGCAAAAGGCCAGTGTTCGGAAAGTGCCCTTAGATCCGTGTAGCTATATGTTTCCCCTGCCTAGAGTTCCAGCTTTTAAAATGTCTCATATAACTGACTTTCCCCGTTGTCTTGACACCCCGCTGCCACCTCCCCAAGCCTGACAGCCTGCTGGCACCCCGAAAGAGCAAGGCAAGACCATCAGGTGCGTTTCTGGCTGTTAAGTCTCAGTCCACGATGGTTAGTTCAAAGAACAGAGGGTTCTTTTACAGCTTCTCCAGTCAGATCAACATTTCCCAGCGTGTTTCTCCCTTTTGTTGATGTGTTTTTCAGGGAACTCTCGCTGGCTTTGCAATCCAGAGGCTGCAGCGTGGTGCGTACGTCTGAAATAGGGCCCGGCTTCCGCTGCCGTATAGATTCAGGGTGGAGGAAGGGGGAACGCTGCAGAGCTCGTGTCCCCTCCCATAGCCAAACCGGGGCCGCGTGAGGCACCAGGTGATGTTACTATAGGAGCACAGAGCTACTACTCCTTCAGTTGCCATTCTCCTGTCCACCTCCCAGCAAATATGTTCCTGGCCAGTCCCATTATTTTTTTTTTCCCACTCCCAGTCAGATTTTTCACCTTTTCTACAGGCTGGTTTGCCCACCAG